ATATGACTGCAGGTAAACCACACGATTGCCTTGATGCACCTGATAACCAAGCTAATACTTAACTCTCCGGCAGTATTTCTGCCATCGTCTCGACACGTCATTTAATTTAAACAACGTGTGTGTTCTCCGTGAATTCTATTAACTGTCATGACTCCGTCATGACTCATGCACGATCACACGCGACCGCCTCGTGCCCGTCAAGGTCAGCCGTCAAGGACGTTGACATCATGCTTATATCATTATTAATCATTATTAATCATAATGATATCACACATATGAGTCACGGCCATATTCCAACCGGTCCCGGATCATATATAAAGGAGGCCCTAATCAGCCGGAAATCATTCGAGTCTTTTCTAATGTACTGATCAGCTAAATAATAATTACACTGTAGTGGGCAATGGTCAAAGATTATTAAAAGGTCGTGCACACCTGGTTGTTTGGTTCGTTTGTAATATACATAGGTAATTGGTCATCGTTGACCTTTCATTAGGGCTCATATACACACAACACCGTAGGTACACACACAGGTTAAAGAACTCGTCACCATTGTTGTGACATTACCGAATGAGGACTATCCCCTGCACCCATCGTACAGCTAGCCGGATTATTCTAGTGACCTTTCGCCCACAAATTCTTATAAACTGTAAGTTTTAATTGCTTGGCGAACAACTATGTTTGTGTATGTTGGTCATAGCGGCTCACTTTATAAAATTGTAGTTTTTTTAGGAAGGCAGAGTAACTAATAAACGGTTGCCATCACATATTTTTCCGATAAGGAATGCAGAAATAGATTGCTTTGTTGTTGTAAAATGCGATGCGATGATTGTTTTTCCACACAAGTTTTAGCAATTATGTATATATCTTGTTACCGTATTAATTCCGCGCTTTAAGTCTTGAAAGATGATTACTTTATCAAATTTCCGGTACACTAGCAATTTTTTGAAAGTTCACTTAAATCTTAAGTTAAAAAATCAAAGAAATGGCATGACAGCGTGTTGCACAACAGCATCTACTGTACAAACAGTGGCTGTCGAATAACAGAAGAAAACAGGAGCAGTTTCATCTAAATTCGTCGCCGGTGGTGCCGGGGAAAATCATGTTATGTATATACAGTAGTATTCGCTTTGCGTATACAGTAAGACGCTCTGATGTATTTTTCTGTATTTTATCTGTACTAAATAAACCGTTTAACCAGCCGTTTACCAGTAACTAAATCGTTTAACCAGCCGTTCTAGGAAAATATCTGTCGACGACAGAAATTAAAATTTATGCTCAAACCACCCAACAAATTCTTGAAATTACAAAAAAAACCTTTAAAATTGTAGTGATTTTACTTATTTTTACTTCTCTCAACAGCGAATCAGTTTGACTGTACATTTTTAACAATGGATCATCTATATTTTTCACTATTGTAAAAAATTGTCAGAAATAGTTACATAGTCACCATTTAAGATTATGTTGTACGGTACCTACTCGCCACTCGGTCTTGAAACAAAAAAGGAATTTTTCTTATGGGGAAGCCTCTGACCGGGCCCTGGTAAGTAACATTTTTCCACGGAAATGTCGTTACTTTGATAACTTAACATACTGCTACTTAAGGCAGCCACTTTAGCACTTGTATCAATAAATAAAAGGCTTCTATACGCTCAGGCAATATGAATTCGCCCTGGAGACTGATGCCGCAATATCGACCGTTGTTGACGGATACCAACTGGATGAGCTACCAGAATACGGTGGTTATTCACAACTCTGATAACACGTGGTGGCTGGGCTATATGCAGGACTTGGACGGCGACCGCGCCTTCATCCACTTTGACTCCGCAAAGGTCACACCGCGGTGGATCCACTTGGGCAGCGTCTGGCTCCTGCCGTTTTACTATAAGGAACCGGGGACAGGCGGTTGCAAGAACGCCCCGGCGTACGTGGCCTTGCGAGATGAAGACGATGGCCCGCTGCGCTTCCGAGCCACTGTCCTCTTGGGTTTCCTTTTGGTTTACCAGAAACCTCAGATGCTCTACATTAAATCCTTTACGCTCACCGCCAACGGTCCAGTCGCAGCCCCCGCTGAGCTGGTGGCTATCGGGCAAGTGGTCGCTCATCTGCCGCCCCGGGATCCGCCTTTGCTAGAGCGTCACAGTGGTGCGCTCTACATGAAGCACTTGATTTCCTTTGCCGGGGCTCAGAGCATCCTGAGCGATGCCTCCGATAAATTCCGCCTCATTAAGCACTTGCGCGAGGCCTTTTCACACGACAGGGAGCTGCTACGTCTGTGGGACAGCGCTCGCTTTCACCTGCGCATTGAGCAGGATGGCTGTATGTTTATTACCATCAATATTGCCAACGCGCATACTGCGCGGATCACGACGACGGCGCTGTCGCAAGTGCTGGCCGCGCATCTGGCTGACCGGACCAATCTACCGGCCATCGGGTTGCCCCGATTTCGAGCAGGTGATGCTTTACGCTCTGGAACCGGTTGGATAAGTTGATAAGTTAACTGGCCGTCGTAACCCTAGTGAGACGGACAGACTCCTGTATTTTACTGGTAGAAATACAGTTCACTTTCCTTAAGGATCATTACTCCTTTGACGAGATGGAAACATTCTTTGAATATGATTAGAGCACAAAACATGATTTTTATGATGAGAGATTAGAGCACATGTCTTCGTTTAAAAGAAAGTCGACCTGGTTTTTCGGATAAGAACTTTGTTGACGTCTAAAACAATTTCTTTCAGTTGCAAAGATCGAAGGAAATTACAGTCATACCATAATTACGCAATAGTGCTAAGTGCTAACACTCGGATCATAATAGTTTCCAGCAGTTTCGGTAGCGCGGGTTTGATAGATGAACCTCAAAGTAAGACGTCAGAAGTTAAAGCTGAGATAATTCGATGAGCGTCTTTTGTCGGTTTTTAGCGCACCCCGACAATTGGGAGTGTGTAATTTCGCCGCGCTCAAACTCGACGCCCGACTTTTCGCCGTGAAGACATTTCGACACAGGACATGCGGACGCTGGGATATTTCGGTTAGGGACATTTAGCTTTGACTTTTGAGACTTCTTGCTTTGAGACATTTTGCCGCAAGCCAACTGGCCGCGAACATTTCGTCGCACTTGGTGCTATGTAAAAGCTTTTTTGTTTTTTCAGCTTTTTCGTTTTTCGTTTTTTCGTTTTTTTAACTTTCTAAAGTTTCTCAAGCTTCTTGGATTTCATTGATGCCCAATATTTTCATGTTTTCTTATGTTTTTCCTATGTTTCTCATGTTTTATTAGGCTTGATTTATGTTTTCTATGTTTTCTTACGTTTTCTTACATTATCTTTTATTTTCTTATGTTTCCTATGTTTTGTTATGTTTTCTGACTGTTTGTTAAGCTGTATAAGCTATTTATCTGATCAACGAAATGCTGGGCGTCGAAACGGCCTTTTGTCGAAATGTCTCGCGGCTAAAATACCAGTCGGCGTAAAGTCCGGCGGCAAGTTGTCGCAAAACGACAAATTGCCTTGCGAATTGTCTTCGTCGAAATGTCCTGAGACCAGTTGTCCGCGGCGAGATGTCGCGGTGCCGTTTCTTTAGCCTGCTATTTAGACTAATAACATTTACTGTTTTAATTTCCATTGACAACAAAACTGCACTCCGTCGAGAATGCCTTAAATTTCGAAGCAGTTAATTTTTGAATTTAGGTTGCAAAATACAGACACTGTTTTGAAATCATTAAACGACCTTCTAAGAAACCGATAACTTTAGCTTAAGCTCGAAATTTGTATTAGTTTGTTTGAATTAAGGATGGCTCAACAGGAATCCAGCGAGCCATGGATGTAACGTCTGGAAATGTGCCTTGACGTACCAGTATTGTTACAGCTCTGTCAGCAGATAATTATACGCTGGCCGGTCCTGTTGCTACTGAAATACCTACTTTCAAGGGCGAAAGCGCTAACAGCTTTGCTTACTGCTACAGACAGTAATTCGCAGGGACCAGGAATGACGAATTGATTTGCCATCGTATTGGCAAAAAATGGAAGCGTAACGCACATTGAATATAAATTTTTCTAGCTGTCTATGCGAGTACTCGCTATGTTGTCGTTGCGCAGATTTGGAAAGCGATACACTGCAGCTTGAGCCGGGCATCCGCATTGGTCACCTGACGTCTTGGCTCCTGAGCGAACTTTTGGCAAACCTGGACTTGCAGTCACAGATGACAGCCAAACGGTAAGCTCTAGAAAATGGCACGACTGGCCGAGTCGGGTAAGGGTGTTTGCAAGCCATAGACGATCGCGGTCCTTGTACGTATACATGTTTCCTTATATAAAATAATTATTTCCTTAGCATATTCGTGTAAATACGTGAAGCATGTCGATGTCTACAGAAAATTATCTGCATGATCCATTTAATGTTGAACTTTCTTCAGTGCCGTTGTGTTCAGTATCACGCGATACCGCGCGATGGACGACACTTTTGAAGTACTGTACACAGACACTACTGGACGATTTGCAATACTAAGTTTACACGTTTATTAAACGAGCTCACTATTTACGCCCTGGTCAAGTTATAAAAGGCCGTAGCAACTACCGTATCATGATGTAAAGCGTGATTACCCAGTTGCGATGCAGAATCTGCGTAGCAGTCATTTCATTGTACCGGTGCAAAGGTTGTCTGCGACTGCCACACTTGTGCAGAATTCATAATGTGTATTTAATGCATCACCAAAATATCTATAATGATAGTGCACTTTAGTACGCAATTGTTGTGCATCGAATCGTGTGGGTTTATTTAGAAATTTGCGGTGTTTCTATTACAAGAAATTATAGTGAAATAATGCCCCTGATTTCTGTGTAAAAGAATTGTAATAGATGAAGACCTGTGCATTGCTGCAGATAGATAAACTATTCGAGGAAGTTTATAAATAGATCTTTAGGCCGGATTTAGTGAATTAATCCTGTGCAAGCTGTTTCCTATCATGACAATGCGTGGAGTTCCGTTAATGCACATTCTGGGTATATAACAAAAAAGCAATCGAAATATCGATCTATGTAGCTTCGCAGAACAGCGAGAGAACGAATGCAGAGCAGAGCCAGAGTAAACAGCATTCTCACGGGCGCTAAAAGCAGAATAAATTGAGTGGTGTGTGGATATGACAACATCACTCGCGCTTTAAACTTGCCTGCAGAAAATCTTTTGTTGGAACATTAGATTAGTGACACGACTGGCTGGCTTATTTTATTTGGACTTCCCTTTACATGCAAGGTAAATGTACAGTATGTTGTAGGTATAAGAATCCTTCACATTATCGACTTTTCTGTAATGACATCGCCTGTATGATTAGCTTGTTTAACCACACCGAACGGAAAAGTTGCTGTAAGTTGTACAGTATACGATGCAGATGCAGCGATATCTCTCTGAATCTCTTACGTCAGCAGTATTTTTATTACGGTTTGACGTTGATTCCAGCCTAAACATATTTGATAAAAGTAGTCAGTAATGCAGTTTCAGGTTATATGATTAAAGATTCAAGTTTCCATATGGAAAATAAAAGTCTGCAAGCGCAGTATTGATTGACTAGCTGTGATTTGTATCAAGCTCAAGGTGACCTTGTCGATCTCGTCGGCCCAGCATGTGATTTCGAGCAGAGCACAAAATTAATTATATTGCTGTAATCGTCATATCATGTAATGCAACCGCTTTCCCATAGTCTAAATGTGCAGTTAAATAAGGTGATACAGGAAATATTATATTTATTGAGCGCATGCTAGTGACAGTATGAGCCGATGTGTACTAATATTAATAATCATATTTTATAGTAATTATTATTGTGTTTTTATAACAGTCACTTCATATTTATAAGGAAAAGCTTTTTTAATAATTATGATAAGCAGGTGAGTCCTTGCATTTTCTGTCGGCTTTGGTATGTAATCATTATCGCCGAGTTGTACATTCCTTGCAGTCGGATCGTGATCATTGTCAGTCGCACAAACTGAAGATGCTGAGCGCAAAAGAGCGAAATTTGTTGGTCAACTGGGTGGGATCGACTGGATTCCTGGTGCTCGCCGTTATTACGAGCGTCGCTGCTCTGGTCGCGGCACTCTCCAGTGATTTTTTCTGCACGATGACGCTGACTTGTAAGTCTGTTCACAGTGATTTCGCTTAAGGTCAGAGCAAAAAAATCAAAATTTCAGGTTAAGTTTATGTCACTTAACTAATAACGTGAAGACTTAATTCGTTATTAAACTGGGATGTTTCTGTCCTGCTGATATAGGGAACAGATTTATAATGTAAAGTGAATTTTAATGGCTTATCTATCTGTACATGGGCTTTGGCTAAGCACGAAATCACGCCTTACATTACTTAAGCATGCAGTACACCGGGTTATGTTACCATACAGAACATTTCCTGAATTCAAGCTGCATTATTTCGCATTAAAACAACAAAATTATTATATGCATAATCGTACAATGAAGTATCGTACGTGTTGTCATACAGGTAACGCAGTGTACCGCATTGTCTACGCCGGATCACCGGCCAGCGGATACATGTCCGCTTCCCTCCTGGTTTCCGTGTTGTACTTCCTTGGTCCACTGAACGGATTCTTCAGTCGCCACTGCAGCAAGCATGCAACCATCATGAACGTGACCGTTGCCCGCTGCATGTTCGGACTTCTAGCCAGTTTTTGCGGAATGCTTATTTTGCGGACACTGGAGTACGCGTTCGGTGACCATAAGGGATCCTTGTATGACGGATCACTAATTTTGGAAGCTGGTATGAAGCTACGGGCTAACACCACGGGATCTGCGGCACGTTTTAATGAATCTGCGGACAGTTCTCCGATTGCCTATTCGTCTCATGATCAAGATCTGCTGCGAGAGAATCTAATCACGATGAGAAAACTGGCCGAGTCCATGCCGCCTCGTCTGCATCAGTTGGTTCTTTCCCTGTATATGTTGGTCGCGTCCATTTTCCTGGTCGAATCCATCCTTGCTAGTATGTTCTGGAAGCGCCTGGCGCCATATGGTAAAGAGACCGCGGTTGTCGAGGATAAGGCGGCCCTGAACGCGTTTGAAACCGGCGGCGAGAAGAGCGAGACCGCTACCGTAAAATTCATAGACACGCGCAGCGGTTCGTGCTGGGAGTGTTTCTCTTGGACGCACTTGCCGCCAGCCGGGGGACAGTGTGTGGAATGCAACATGGGCTGCACGGGCATTGTGCTGGGCTACCTGTTTAAAGCAATCGTGGCATGCCATCTGCTGATGGACATTTATCATCTGGTGAAAATGTTCTGATCAGGTGCGGATGCGCAGAGTGCATAAAATCGCATGCGTTGCTGGCTGAAAATGGTGCTTTCTGCTTTAACGCTAGGCTTCCTTGCTTCCTTAAACTTGTGTACGTGCCTGAATTGTATCCTGTTGCAGCATTGAGATTAGCTAAATATTAACTTCCGAAACACAGCATTGCTAACTCCCAGGTGCTATAATGCCATGCTTTTAACGCAGAAAGGTAAGCCTGCTTTTAGCACAAAAGGTGAGAGATAACTGGCCTTGGCACCGGAGCAACATCGTCGATGGCCGCATTCTGCATCCGTCAGCATACATGCTGTGCACAGCCACTTGTCGATCGGATGCTTCGGACTCGACTACATCGAATACTCATCACAGTAGTTTCCTTTTGATGCCCTTTTCATGGCGACTGGGCTCTGGTGGGGCATATTTGTTATGCGTCTCATGTTTGACCTTTTCATAATCTAAGATTTATTAAGATATCAGTTATACGTATAGGGCGTTTTTGCGTTGTTTTTCTGGGCTTGCCTCTGAGACTGATGAAATCTATAACGTTTCACCTAGTTCTGCTTATCTAACACTGCTTCTCAACATGTTACTAGGTGTGAAAATTACAATATTAAAATTAATCTCTTACCTTTTCTTATCTGAAATTTCTTCTAATGACACATTGCTTTGTACAAAGTCTGACGCGAATTAAAAGGCACGCACTGCATTCACGACTGGTGAAAAGTACTGAGGACTGAACTTGCCATTTCTGTTTTCAAAGAGATTGTCCAGCCACCGAAACTAAGACTTGCTTTTCTTGGCCTGTTTAGCAACGCGACTATAAACAGTGCCTCTGAATGGGTGATGATAGTCGGATGAGAGTTTCAAGAGGAAACAAACTATTGGTTAAATTCAATCGGACAAAATTAATGTACTTAACTACGACTAGTGACTGATTATTACCATTGTCCGCAGTCCCAACAGCTGATTTTACCCTACTGTAGTGAAATTAAGACCCCTTATAGTTCATACCTGTATAGGTATATGTAAAGGGCAGCACAGTAATATGAGTACCACAAAATAAATCAGTTAGTAAATGTGCTTAATGCTTGAAGACCCATTAACTGGAAAGGTAGTATCTGTTACAAGCTGTTCCTCAAGATCGATTCAGAATTATGACAGAGAATAATTTCGACACATTTCCATAAATTACCACAAACAGACCAGGTGGTACTGATTTCATTTACAATAAAACGCCCAAAACCAGGTGCTACCAGAAAGTAAGCCGCTGTTTGTTTACTGCTGCACATTTCCGCTTATTTACTGTTTTCCTGCTATATAGACTGGCGAGATTTTATCCATCCAGATATGCTGGTAAGCAATGATGGTTCGGCTCGCTACGACAGCGATCTACTAGAAGGCGACATTGTCGGATTGCAAACTTTGGAGGTTAGTAGCAAGGCAGGCATCACCATTGATAATTTTGCGTAATCCATCTGATATTAGAGTAGGTTACCGCATTGTCGGCTGCTCTTAGGTAGGCGGTGAGTCTTAAGCAGAAAAGCTGGAGACTTAATTAAGAAAATCTATTTGGTCGGTAAGGCATTTTATAACTGATTTGTGAAATCAAAATTTAGCTTCTCCACGGAGCAGCCAATGCCATTGACGACGCTAGCTCCCTGTGGCCCAATAACACGATACCATACGAATTTTCCAAAAAACAATTCGCAACAATGAGTAAGAAATAAGTTAACATAACGGTAATATAAACTGCTCAAGTGCAGCTTTTCAATAGTTTTCTCGTTCTCAGGCGCAAGGGAAGTGCAAATAATTCTGGAATCCATGGATATTATTAGCCTTCTCACCGGGAACTGCGTCAAATTTGTTCAGCGAACTTCGGAGGCCGATTACATCTCTTTCCAAAAAGGCCTACAGTCCGTCATAATCGCACAAGCGTTTTTCAGAAAGACTTAAGATTTAACAGCTGCTTGATTTTTACAGGTGTATGTCCAGTATAGGCAGGATAGGTGGGAAACAGTTTGTGACCTACGCATCCGCTTGTCTGAAGGAACACGGAGACGTGCAGCATGAACTAATGCATGTTATGGGATTTTTTCATGAGCATTCTCGCCAAGACAGAGATCAGCACATTCTCATCATCTGGGATAATATCGCCATTGGTAAGCCTGTGGAATGTTCAACGATTTACGCTTCGCGCTCTGTGACGCATTCTGAGCGTTCATGATGACCGTGTTAACAGCTGACCGTGACCAGTTTACACAGCATGCTGGAAAAACGTATGACCTTCCCTACGACTACGAGTCAATCATGCACTACAAATTTAATGCTTTCGCCAAAGATCCTGCCATTCCAACGATAGCTCCTCTAAGAAAACGTTCTAGGATTGGCCAGAATGATAACCTTAGCCCCTTGGACGTCGCTAGGATTCACCGACGATTTGGCTGCTTACCAGCAGCCGCTGCCAACTTTGCAGGTAGCACTTAGCTATTCAAAGGTCACTTTGTGCATCTGAATCGAGGCCTTGGATTCCGAGCATAAGCTTTTCTGAAAGTTGCGAGCATGACAGCAGCAGTCTGTATTCGAGCACCAGTGAAATAACCACCAGTTATCACCAGTGAAATAACAGAAGTTAAAATGGAAAAGCGACCATTACATTCGCTTAAAAAATTGAGATATAGTATATTGATTTTTTTGTCCTCATTCAGACAGAATTGGCTGGCTTTGCAAAAATCCAGTTTAAACTACTTCAGCATCACTTTATCACCATAAACGTTAATGATACTTCATACGTTATTATATTTTGTTTCGTAAAAGGTAAGCCACGAAAGGAGAAAAGAGAAAGAAAGAGAATTCTAAACAATTTTGAAATGGAGTCCTACTCACACTGTCACATTAAAAAGGTCAAACCACATCATGCGCCAAAAGTCCATAAACCCATTGCATTCTATTTTCTCTTCAGTGTTGTAGTTTTAGTTCCTTTGGTCCAGAGTGTGCGCTGAGCGCTATTAGCGTCGGAGCGTTATACTATTTAGCGTCGGAGAATATTGAACAGCGTAAATTGTTCTGCCCTCAGAGACCACCACCACTTTATCATTATTCTGTTCTAGGGCTGACACATCCCAGACTGAACGACTCTAACAATTGTAAGCCAGGAAAACCGCCACCCCCGGGTGAGTTTGTATTAAACGCCATTAAATTAAACGCAGTTAACAGATGCGTGAATTTATGGGGCTGAATTTACGGTTAACCTATGGTAGGTACAGGTGCGTTTTCCTGAACATTAGTTTATGATCGTACGATAACTTTCGAATCTTACCTTTTTGCTGCAAAATGTTTCAAAAGTTCGTGGAAATGTTGGACTTGCATAAATTTCAAGCAATAGCTGTACAAAGGTAGCATGTTAGTGTGACCTAAGAGAAAAAAGCCTTCAAAAATCTCAGTAGAACATGTCCAGAGTATCAGAATGAAATGACGTAGAAAGTCACTTCATCAAACGACAAAGTCAAAACTCTTCTATAGATTTCCAAGCAGCAGGACGACCGAAATTGTAGGACTTGTCTTTGCATTATACAGGAGCCGATGCTAATCCGGAAATGGCAGCTGTAATGGAGCCGTTTCCGCAGCTTTCTCCCGAGCCCATGACTTTAACAGAGTGTGCACTGCAATTTACCTCAAACTGCCGTCCGGTCCGATTCTCGCTCTCAGACTGCAGCTTATCACAGGGTATGCAGATCAACTGCAACGGGCAAGAGACCTCGGAGGAACTACACCAAACGACCTTGGCCATGACAAATTATTCGTTGAGAGCCGTGAGCGTGACTGTTTTTGACGGAGAGCAAATTAAGTCCCACAGCTTTGGTCCGATTCGGAAGCAGATTGTTCGATTTGACCTTAAAAACTGCTCAGCGGGACATGTGACGCAAAAGCTTTTCAACTTGCGTTTTACAAGCTTGCTATCCTTCAGCCTGGCACACTGCTATGGTTTGGAGATCAATAGAGGAGATTTCATTCAGCCAGTCGATTAAACTTCGAATGATCACTTTCTCCAATTCAACGATTAGGCGCTTGGAGAGGAGCACCTTTACAGATCTTCCGGCGCTACAACTGCTATCTTTGGAGAATAACCTGAACGAGATGGATGTATTTAGTTTACCCCTGCGCAAGTATTTGAAGGAACTGCATTGCGGCTGCGAATTTGTATGGTTTCGACAGTGGTGGAGCAATAGCTGGCAGCTGCAACGACAGGCTTCTGAAAACGAGGTTTATAGGCTGCCCAGTGCTTGGGGAAACGATGCCTTGAAGAAGGAAAATGTGTATCTGCCGATTGATTGTGCTGCGGCTGAGTTGCCAACTGGTTCCGCATCCGTTAACTATCGACAGTATGAATTCTCGATCAACGTGCCAGAGTGCAAGTTGCGTTGAAATTGTGCAGCTGCGCATGAAAAATAGCCATTGAGAAATATATATACGTAATACGAAACGAAGCAATGTTGGACTTTTATTTTGATGTAAATTAAAAGGGGCTCTGTGTAAAGCATCCTAAAAATAATAACCGCATTTCTCTCTTATATCATTTGTTCAAGAGCAGCAGTTCATAGTGCGGTTAGTGACGGCTCCTATGAATAGGGAAAGTAAATGTGATAATAATACAAAACGAATTCTGGAAACATTAGATGTATTAGACTGGAGTAAAAAGGCAAGCTACAAACGATGGTGGTACGAAATACTGATATGATGCATTCTTGAATCCTGACCATCATTTTGATGTAAATCTGCGGAAGCATACTTGTACTTATGTGCACAGACTGTTGCCAGTACATGACTAGTTCTTTTACAGTAATAATATTTATACGGAACACCCACTGCAAAAGCTGGTACTAAAGCATTTCTTTGACAGCATAGTACGAGTATCGTACATCTTGTATCTGAAACTGCAACAATAATAATATGCATTTTGCGGTTGAGCTGCGATCCTGTTTTCCCAGTCGGCTGATTCATTGTGCGACCTGTTCTTTGGTTTGGACGTACATTATGGCTTTTACAATTTGCATAAATTAGCTGGTTGTGGGACCAGCAAAATGTATCACCGCCCTAACGAATGCGCGCAAACTGGTTTGGCACGTTAGCCAATGGCACCAACAAATTAAATTCCTCCATGACAGGCAGAAGCAAGGGAAACTAGGGAGCGTAGCTACATGTTGCCTGGTGCTTACAGAATACGGTGTGTTGCCGACGGTAAATTAACTGCTATTGCACAGCGCAAGTTTACTGCAGCAGTGTAGCTAGCAGCACACTGCCACAGTATTGTATAAAAAAATTTTGTGAGGTGACCTGGTGACGTACAACCATGACGCCCAAGGTCCGGTCTCCACGAATTTCCTGCTTATTGTTTGCACCTTTTGCTGCGTTCTGTTCTGCATGGGCAACACAACTGCCAGAAAGTAAGTCACTAGGCTTTCCTATAACAATATGTTCACGACAGTCTGTTTTAATTGCCCTGTTGCGGTTTAACAGACTGGCGCGACTTTATCCATCCGGACATGCTGGCAAATAGCGATGACGCGGTACGATACGACAGTGATCTGCTAGAAGGCGACATTGTCGGGCTGCAAACTTTGGAGGCAAGTGCAGATGTACGAAAACAAATTTTAACAGCATTTAGACGGCACTGTACCGGAAACTCTGCACATTCTGGGCTAATTTTTTTCAAAAACACTTGCTCGAAGCAGTAAACATTGTTGGTGACAGATATGTGAATCAAATACGGATGTTTTCGTAATCTGCATTTGCTGATTCAGATTGATATTTCGCAACAGAAGTCCTCAGCGGAAATGTTCATGACAAAAAATACACAACTAAATACTTACCCTTTACAGATATACTTACCCTTTACAGATACTGTTATCTTATATTGCACAGTGCGACAATAATTATCTACAAAACCGTAAGGGATATCGTACTTACCGCGATCGTATGCGCGATACATTATAATTATACGATCGTATACGCGTTGGTATAAGCCGTAAGCGATACGTTATGTATCTCCCAATTACAGCTTCTCCACGGAGCAGCCAATGCCATTGACGACAATACTTCCCTTTGGCCTAACAATACGATACCATACGAGTTCTCAAGAAAGCAGTTCGCAACTATGAGTAAGGAGGAAGTTAAGTAATGTCATTTGCCTACAGCTGTTAGCTGTGCATTGTATCGTATTTATTTGATACCTGTTTTGCACTATTGCCCGCGTTAGTGTCGGCAGTTACATGGGTCCTTATGCAACTTGTCGATTTTGTTGTGTCCATAAGAGTAAAAAAGTGTCCAGTAACTCCAGTAAGCACAGAGTAATACTATAGAGTATACGGATGACAAAAACATGCCGACAAACATATCTTAGGTTCAAGTGAAGTGCAAATAATTCTGGAGTCAATGGACATTATCAGTCACCTCACCGGATACTGCATCAAGTTCATTCGACGGACATCCGAGAGTGATTACATCTCTTTCCAGAAAGGCCTACAGTCAGTGGATGAGTGGAAGCCGTACAACAGCTACTCGAGTAGCTTTTGTTACACTGCATTTTTTACTGCAGATGCATGTCCAACATCGGCAGAATGGGTGGAAAGCAGTTTGTCACCTACGCACCTGGTTGCTTAAAGAAACATGGAGACGTACAGCACGAGCTGATGCACGTTATGGGATTCTTTCATGAGCATTCTCGCCAAGATAGAGATCACCACATTAAAATCATCTGGGATAACATCGCCAGCGGTACGGCATATACAAGAACAATTTGATTACTCTTGTCGAGAATTTCATAGCGTCTGTTTTACCCGGCCCTTAATTTATAACTTAAGTTATAGGAGACCGTGAACAATTTACTCAGCATGCTGGAAATACTTACGATCTTCCATACGACTACGAATCGATTCTGCACTATAAATACAATGCTTTTGCAAAGGATGCGGAGATTCCAACGATTGTTCCTTCAAGGAAGCGAGCTAAGATTGGTCAGAATGACAACCTCAGTCCACTGGACATAGCTAGAATTCACCGGCGATTTGGATGCTCACCAGCGGCTGCCGTTAACTTTGCAGGTATTAATAAGAGATCATTCAAAGGTCACAATCACAGTCACTTTTAAAGCCGCGGACGAGCACGACCTTGAACCTTTAGGGTAAAACTAAATTCTGTAAAAAACAACTTGTTTCAGGTTTGACACAATTTAAATTGAGCGACGACAAGCCGACAAATTGTAACGGTAAGCGGTGTTACGTGGAGCCTTATGGGCGCCCACGTACCTTCGACGGCGAAACAGCGGCGAACCCGGATTGAGGCTTTTTGCCGAAATCTAACTCGCGCACCGTGGCGCAGCAAACACCAGACTAATGAGATCGGATCCTACAGCCAGCACAGCTGTGCTGTAGATCCGTCAAAACACCGCAGAAATGTGTGGGATGAAATCCCCAGAACAGCGAAACACAACAGCGAATGGCCAATCAAGAAAGCGGAGCTATCGGCCTTCACAACGGTGTTCGTAAACAAATTCTGGTAATAAAACCCGCACTACTTCGGTCGGAAATATTTCTGAAACATTTCGAAGCAAAGTAGCGAACAACGACAGACGAAACTTAATAGCGCATTTTGAAATTCCTTCGGTAAATGTATTAAGTGAGCTGTTGGCAAAAACAGATAGCAGCAGCCGCTGTTTTGCCGCGTTATGATCTATTGACCAGTGCGCAAAGCCAGTTCATCTAAAGCAAAAATGAAACTGTGGCTGTCGTTGAATTATTAGAGATCGACATGCCGAAACTGGAGGCCACAATGGAACCGCTTCCACAATTTTCCCAAGAGCCTATGACTCTAGAAGAATGTGCTTTACAGTTTTACCGCAAACTGCTTTGCAGTCGGATATTCGCCTTCAAACTGCACTTTTACACAAGGCGTTGATATCAACTGCGGCAAGGCAGAAACCTCGGTGCAGCTTCATGAAATGTCCAACTCGATGTCGGCATTTCCGCTTAGAGCAGTTCGAATCAGTATGTTTGATGGAGAACAAATTCAGTACCACAGTTTCGCTCCGATTCGAAAACGGGTCGTCCTATTTAAACTGTACAACTGCACACCCAACGCCACACAGGAAGCTGCCTCAAATGCATTTTGTAAATTTGTTATCATTTTCACTTATTAACTGCTATGATTTGGAAATCCGGCAAGCTGACTTCAGCTCGTCATACAGCCTAAAGGTTATTCTCTTCAGCAATACAACGGTTAAAAATTTGGAAAAACACACATTTGCAGATCTTCCTGCGCTGACACTTTTGTCATTGGAGTTTAATCTGAACGACCTAAATACGTTTAGTGTTTCTTTGCGCGAATATCTGAAAAGACTTCATTGTGATTGCGAATTCGCATGGTTTCGACAATGGTGGAGTCGAAACTGGCGGTTGCTGCGACGGGCTTCTGACAGTGAAATCTACAGAATTCCATATTCTTGGAGGAACGGTGACATGCAAACGGAAGATGTATACCTGCCGATCGATTGTGCAGCAGCGCAGTTTCCGACTGGTCCAGCATTTGTTGATCACAGCCAAATATGAGTTTTCCATCAACGCGCCAGAAGGTAAGTTTCGTATAAACTCGCTCACGCCATGTATGTAGGTTGTTTTGTTTCAAAACCATTCCGCGTTGTGAAAAGCATTTATATTTCCCCCAAAAGTTGGCTTACAGCCGACACAGGAACACAAACATAAAAATTTTTTATAAAAAGCGCCAGTGTTTCTTCGAGTACTAATCCAATCATCATTTGCATTTTTTAAAGATTCTGTGAAAAGAGAATCTTGCGGAGAAGATGATGCGGCATCCAGTGAATCTTTCATTTTCAGCATGGAACCAATGACATTTGACCAGTGCAGATTGCAGTTTACCGCAAATTGCTGGCCACCTACCGCGACGAAAACAAACTGCACAATGTACAAATCTTTGGATATTTCTTGCCTTAACCAGGCACGGTCAGAAGAAATTATGCAAATAACGACCGCAATGGCCAAAACACCGCCGCGTGCAACTAGGTTAGATATCTGTGGAGGGCATCAGATATCATTCGACAATATGGCTCCGGTGCGGAGACAAATAGTCGCCTGCAATATATGGAATTGCGCATTCACTAACGTTCAGCCCACTCGGAAACTGGGCGAGTTGCGCTTTCCTAGCCTTCTTGTGTTTCAGCTAGCTAATTTTACAACATGGATATCAAAAGGACGACTTCAAATACTCACGAAAGTTGAGGATAATCGATCTTATAAATTGCACAATCCGTAGCCTGGGAGAGGGCACCTTCACAAATTTACCGTCACTGCGTATTCTTGCGCTGGAGGATGGAATCGCAAAAATGTGGACTTTCAATCAAGACGTCAAAAATTACTTAAATCGCCTGCATTGCAGTTGTGACTTTGCCTCTTTTCGACAATGGAGGAGCAGTAATAAAGCCTTAATGAATCACAGTGAGAGCGGTCAAGTTTTCAATACCAACGGTGCCTGGAAAAGTAGTGCATACACACGAAATGAAGTTTATTTACCCATCAACTGCGCTACAAAACCGTTTCCATCTGGAATGGCTGACATCAACAATTTCCAGATCGAATTCTCGCTCAACGATGAGAAGGACTGCTAAACTTCTTTAAAATTTCCGGTGGCACGAACAATTCTGATACCATCGGGAAATTTTAACCGTTACGTGAATCTTTGCTTTTCGTACGACGCAGTGTTAATGGAGTAAATCCATGATTATTATTTTTATTTTCAGTAATTCTAGTTGCTGTATTATCGACGTATCATTGTATTATCCTGTCTCGGCTCAAATGGCACCGATAGTAGGGAATGCCGGAAAGATTCTTCGGATTAGCAAAATTAACGGTTACAGGTGCGTTGCTGCTGCCTATCACGATAACCTATGGTTTGCTCTAAGTTTCCTAAAGGCAGAAGACGAAGATTTACACAATCAGGTAGCCTGTTATCCGGTAACGTAGTGGCCGTGCGCTTTGTTTGCTATCATGTCCGGAAAATCACCGACCAGACTTGGTGTGTCTGCTCTTATGTCGTCATAATAATAAAGCTCGTACAAACGTAATCTTAGCTCTCAACTTCCAACGAGTTTGCACCCTGTCTTTTGGCAACACCATCATTGGCTCGTCGGTTGCTCTTACATTACTTCCATGAAATAGTTACTTCGCTTTATTCTAACCTTTTGTATGGTCTTAGTTGTTTACAAATTTCCCAAATTTTTTAACACAGTCACAACAATTCGGCTCATCGACACTATGTCGACTAACACTGCGTCCACCGTCACAGGGTCGGCTTCCAGACGTCGACCGTCAGGAAGGCAAAAGCTGAAGAAACTTACGATAACTAAAGAATCTTAAGAAAACTCAGACGGCTGAGCAAAACGCTAGCTCGACTTTGTAACGGGCCGACATCCATATCTGTTTGGCTTCGTGGCCGTCGACGAAATGGCGTGCCACCAGCTAATTCGCGGTTTATTGGCGGAACTTAGCGCATTTCTATATTATATGCTCAACGTCAAATTAATTATATAATTGTCGTGAGTGTATTGTTGCTAGAATGATAAGATGCTACCGACAACATGTAAAAAACATCGGCAAACAGTACCGCCTGCACATATCATGTGAACAAACCATACCGGTACGAGTACCCTTGACAGCCGCGCAGTAGATGAGATCACTGTGATTGCAACTTTAATAGCAGGCTGTGGCTTGTGAACGCCGCAAAATTGATATAGATGTGCAAACTCCGGGATCCGCGGAGATCCCGTGGATGGTCTTCGCAGGATCAAATTCTTTATTCTTAAGTATCACTGGCACTAGCTGAGCAATCGCTAGCTTTGCGACTTATTTCTTTTTCCACACTCGGCTTAATTGACAAGAAATTTGTCCCTTTGCGACGTCCCGCTTTTGTATTCATTTTTGTCACGACTTATTTGTAGTTTTGCTTCCCGTGAATGTTTTGAATGTGCAGTTAGCTTGGAATTGGGATATTTGGTATATTGCCTTTATTACGAGTATTCTTCTTCGCTTAGTTCACTTTAAGTGTACGGAAATTGATGCCGTGAATTTGTTTTAATAATGCTGATTTTCGATAGCAACGACTAAATTGTTAATGAGCGTACAGACTGTGTACTCATAGATGCAAGTACCCTCCTGCAAAAGATGGGAACTAACTAATTAAATTTTGTGGATTCTTTCTTTGAAGAAAACATTTCTCTGATGTGCTAATTGCAGTTTTTATTTGAAAAATTTGTTCGGTAATTATAAATGGATTTGTCGATTACCGACTTTAGCACAAGTGGCTTCCATTAAGACTCTACAATACACTCACTTTCACAATTATCACCCACACCGCCCGCGGCCAAACCAGGCCCCGTCAATCACGCCGCAAAAGACAAAAAAGATGCATTTTCCACACTTTCTGCACATTCTTTCTTCTTTTTCTACCTCGCACCAATCATGACACCTGTTGTGCCAGCTTACATGCAATAAATTTCCTGGTGAAAAACGCGCACATTGAAAGAAAAACTCACACTACCACAATCTGTTAAACCGTTGTGTGTATTGCAGCGACATGTGTTACCTAACCAGTCAACAGTAAGTAGCAATAGCTCCCCGCTTAATGCCATACAGCGTGATCGATGTGCAGTCTGCAAATAATTTTGCAACACACACCATGTACCGCGTGATTTATGGAGCACTTCTTCATTCTGCAATTAATCACAAAATCCGCTATAATTAATTATCACCATTAATTTCTCTAAATGGAGGTGGAGACGGCGACCAATGAGCGGCCGCGGTGGCGACAGTTTCTCTGGCGCTGCCTGGATGGGTTCATTTGCATTTTTATCCTGGCGCCACTGGTGGTGCTGTATTGGCGGGGGAGTTTTCAGTTGCTGGATTATTATGTGTATCCCCGTTATCCACACCCTTATTACCCAGTCGTTCCGGATTCGACGGGATTAAAAATCAGCGGGGCCATTACACTGGTGATCGGGATTTGTGGGACGATTGTCGCCAATGTCCTGCAGACGATATTGCATCAGCGCATCCACGAGAAGCGGCGGGGCGTTTTACAGTTATTTCTCAAACGGATTTATACGTACACTTTTGGGTGGATTATTGTCTGCCACTGGCGAGGTGAGCAACGACACAAATAAACAGATAAACTGCCCATATTAAATCAGTAAAGGGCGAATTTATTTCTATTTAATTTCGCGCATTTTGCACAATTTTCGGCAGCGTGTTTACTTTGTTATCGTCTGGTGCATGCTTTCAACCAGATAATCCGAACTGCTGTGCCGGCCTTTATCGCCGGCGTTATTTGGTTTTATTGACATTTTTATCTGTTGTGTCCTTGTACATAATCGATGGACTATGATAAGGAAACAGCGATGCAAATGCAAATGATTGCTAACTTGCTTTATTTCGTAGGTGTTTTCCGCGTATGGGATGGATTCACCGGTACAGATGTGTTCAGCGGTATCTACTGTTTTTCTTCGGGCGTTATTCTGCTGATCCTGCTAAAAAGCTTTCGGAATGTCGTCGCACCGCCCTTGGTTACCGTATCCGATTTCGATAAGAACTATTTCTTCATTAAGACGCGTTTTCGAAGAAAGGTACGTTACAATACCGGAATGTAGCACCGCATAAAGTATTTTAGTAGCAAAATATCAGGTAAGTATTTTTGTCAGAAAATTAAAAAAAACTTATTGCGGTTCTTTACAGGGTTAATTTTAAATAAGGCTCACAGGAAAATTTAAATTATCGTACATACCGGTATTTTCCGATATTAGTGACTTTGGATGCACTCGTAGTAAAAACTCCAACGCATGCGTCAATAACGTCTGTTTATGCCCATTCATATGGACGATTTACTCATCTATCAACTCAGCGTGTAATGACACTGCGCTTTAAATTTAAACAATAAGCCGCACTCTTTGAAAAGTCGAACAAAAGGCACGCTTGCCTGAGAACGCGAAATTAAAATCTTAATTTTTCGAGAAAGGTATCAATGGTTGTGATTGACTGAGCATGTACAATCACGCTGACTCACTCCTCTATTGATTATGTAGCCGTGGGGCGCCGCGTACTTCCTGGACACCATCTTCTCCATTGTGGTGCCGGGCTCACTGGTGGCCTTTGTGTGGCGCGGTCAGTGGTCCATTCTCGATCATGTCTTCAAGCGCGACAGCATGGTGGAGTCGTTCGTCATCTCGGCGGCACTGGGTTTCGGGATCGTCGTCATGCTGTTTGCCCTGCAAGATCAAGCCGGGAAGGTGTCGGCTGCAATGGAGCGCCGCGGCTGGACATGGGCCAAGATCGCTTTCGAGGATTTATTCTTTTATATAGCGGCGCTGGGAGCGGTGAATATATGGCGATCTATTTGGGGATTATGCGACGAATTGCTTTTGAAAGGTCAATGGGCGCTGAGCAACTGGGTGTGCCATATTGTCGGTGGTTTTGGAACTATGTTGTTGTAAGAACAACCGCCTTTTTTTACGATCCTAAATATGTTGGAAATTTAACGGTAAAACTTTTTTAGGTTGCATGGAAATTCTGTGTTAGTGCGGGATGTACAAATCGACGGAGAGTATCCCAACGGAGAAGGCTGTCGATTTTTCTCCAAGAGTCTAACGTTCTTTGAAAACGTACGTACTTGTCCATAATGTAAAATCAGATTTTACTACAACAAATTTTTTCTTAAACCTTTATTTTTCGGCTTTCTCGGGGCATTTACCTGTAGTCCGTACACTGTAGTTTTATTTTCCTTGATTTTGATATTTCACTCCAAACCAAGCAGATTTTTTGTTCAAACTCAGCCTTGTTGTTTGCAGAGAGCCGATAAGCAGAAACGCAAACAGCAACAGACCAACGGTATTCCCGCCGAAATACCGGATATATCGACGGCAGCAGTTGATGAGAAGCCGGTTAAAATCTACCGAAAACTTCCTGCTGCGAAACCGGCTGATGTGGGCGTTCAAAGTGACCAGCTGGAGCACCTGTTATCGGGAAACAGAGTTCGAGACATTCCGACCATTGAAATCACGCAGTATGAAGACAGAAGACCCAGTATACGAAGGCTGAGTGTTTAAAGGAATTTACACACAAACTGGACTCAGAAACTGGATACAAATCGTAGTTATGTTATGTATTATGTTAGTGTACGGTGAATTCTGGCATGATGTGTGGTCAATTACTTTACATGATTACGTCGTCGCAGATCTGTGTCTTATGGAAAGCCTAGAGTACAGAAATAAATTTGCAACAATCAGACTTTTGTGTAATCAGGTTATCACGCCAATAATACAAAATTAATATTTGTTGGCAAATATTGTATATCTATATTATGCGTACCACTGCTACCAAGAAGAGAGATTCAGTTTTGACCAAAAACGTCTTTGGACAGAAGCACCCGGAAGATAAAATTGATCCATGATGTCTGGAACAGTGTCGCATAAGTGTGTCGTATAAAAGGTCTGCTCCGCTGCTGTTTCACAGATTTCACAGTGCAGTTAGAATTCCCATCACAAGGCGGCCCTGAAAAAGCTGCGGTTGAATAGAACAAAATTATAAAATTCAACTATGTACAATACTCTGTATTTTACAAAGTGCATAGGTATAGTACCGTTTATGTACAGTACATTGTAAATAATTGTTGCGTGGATGACAAAGTATTTAGGCAAATGAAGCTGCTTGCAGTGTATTGGTTGCTGTTTGTTGTTTGTTGTTTAATCAGCTTAATGTCTACAACAATCAGGAAACCCTGCACAAGGTGGTAGACTAACACAGAAGAATAGACTTTCATATGAAAGCCTTACATAGAAAGAAACTGTACTGCCTTTAATAAGTATCGTGTCAGAAGTACAAACGTAGTACTAAAAAAAACATTTATAACAGAAACACTTCCTCAATGCTATCCTGCTCGGGAATTGTACCCATTACACAAATCGCATTCCCCCGTTGTATCTGTATAGAAAGTCGCTGTTTAAAAAACTCTTTCGCACGTTTCTGGCCTGTGGCGGTTGCGATACCGCATCCAACCTTTTCCACAAGCCTTTTTGTTCCATCTCCCCACGGTCCGTAAATTTCTAATGCTGCCGCCATGAAATTATACCGTGGTTGCAGTCAGCTGTGTTTCGTCAGCTTCGCTCTTTCGGTGTGTTCAGCTGCGGCCCCGGCGTTCATTGAGGTGCGATCGATATATGATGCAGCGAGCGTGTCCACGCAAGTGACGAAAGAAACTACAACAACAATGCAGCAGAGAACTACAATAAACAACGATGATCAGCATGCACAATACGTTTTGTCCAGTTTAATTCCGTCCATTTAACACGCTCCAAGCTACAGTCAAAGCAGCTAATGCTCGAGTAGGATTCTTTCGGAAGTTTTATCTCGTTCCACAGTTGCGTCATGAGGAACGCGAAGCTCCTTTCACTTAGGAATGTCTCTCCATCGAAGTTGTCGTTGCAGTTGCTTCCAACGCGTACGGATGCTCGTCCAGCGTTGTCACTTAACGTGTTCTACCTGCAACAAAATCAGAAGCAGCAGCACGTTTCTCGCGTAACCTGAAGAACGTCTCACCATACGCAAACAGCCAAACACCATTTTATACGTTAGCAGCAACGATTTACGAACTCGGCAGTGTAACAGTGATTTATAACCTGTTAGCCGTAGCGTCTCAGGGTATTCAAAACTGCAAGGTGCTGAGCGAATCGTTTTGAGAAATCGATATTGGCAATCTTCCAGAAGGTCAACTAACAGCTTCTGTTGGCAGAAAGCAACAGTGCTGCCGTAATCAGCGATTGGTTTTACCAGCCCATCGTACAGCCTTCTGCGCGCAGCAGTGTTCTGGTAGGGAAACAGTGCCTTCAGGTAACGGGTACGTTTCTTAATACGGCCGGCTAGGTTTTCACTATGACACTTCCAGGTTAGTTGGCGGTCGAGATAGATGCCTAGGTATTTCGTCTCTTCAGCGATTGGTATGCCTTCTCCGTTTATGAAGTACATATCACTTTGCAATTTGGCGCGCTTTTTCGAAAAACGGATATGAGCTGACTTTTTGGGATTAAATTTCAAACGATGATCTGCGGCATATTTCGAAACAATATCTAAGGCCGACTGAAAACTTTGTTCGCCGTGTACTGATTGTACCTTTGTAAGGACACATACATCGTCGCGAAAACAAATACTTCACAGTCACTTGGTAACCCCTCAATATCATTCATGATGCAGAGGAACATCGGCGGGCTAACCATCGATCCCTGAGGAACACCGCTAGTCACACTCTTCATTGAAGAAATCTTTCCGTTTACGATCACTGCTTGAGTGCGGCCTTGTAAATAATTTTCCAGCAGCTCAGTTACGTTTTCGTGCACATTTAAGTTACGCAGTTTCATTACTACAGTCTGGTTGCAAAACTAACTAGTATAGAAGGTCGTAACCGCCCTTAGAGCAAGCGAGCGAGCGTGTAAGATTTTTATTTGTGAAAAATCCTTTGGGTAAAAAAAAACAGCAGTAAGCATTACTGGGTCTGTCTAATCGCTTCCAGCTGTTGCATATGCTGTGAACATGACAGTAATCAGTTCACATCAAACATACTGCGTATGTCGGTCATGGCACAGCTTTCAGAACAAGCCTGCGGTAGTTGTTTGTGCACTTTTTCATCGAGTATTTGTTGTCTAGTCTGAATAAGTAAGAAGTTTGCTGCTAATTTTGGTAAGAACATACAGCGAAAGGTTACACCTGATCACAAATTTTGGTAGGCAGTGGACAATCGTCTGTTTGTGATGGGCTAAAACTACTAATATGTCTTCGGTTGAGTTAACTTCATTACGCTTTCAAAAAGCTCTATTCCTTGCGTTACAATGATCTTTCTTCTTTCTAATTTGAGCTGTGACAGAAAGCGCAAATCATGCCAACATTAAATCAATGATGACTGTCACATGCGTTCCCGATAACCACTCCACAAAAATATTTGTACTTAGTCGTAAGGCGGGTGAGCACACGCTGTTTGGAAGGTAAAACATTCGTCGTTCAGTGAAATCCGTAACGCGGGAAATGCCACAATTACCAGTGACAATATCCGACATCCGCCTGTAGAAACGTGGCCAACTGCGCTGCCATTTATTCAGCAGCAAAATCGGCTGTTGCTAAACAGATGTGACACCAAATGCTTGCCTAGCCATTCAAGCCGGGGGTGAGTCTTAGCCAGCCCAAAGCCTGCTGAAAGGCAATATCGGCTTATGGCTTGTGGATGATTGACGTTTGTAGTGGAAAAGCAGTTCAGAATAAATATTTTGCACTTTCAGACTGGAAAGTTTTCCATCTAACGTAAACAGCAGTCGTTCAAAAGAGGATTTTTAAATAAAATCCTGTCAAACCAATGCCTTAGTAGAGAAAACCGCTGTCGGCTGCTTGACTGTGGATGGTGCGGAGCGGTGGTAGTATGTCGTATCCCGTTGATCTGGCAGAACTCGTTGAACTTGTCGACGGTGAACTGTGACCCGTTGTGGGATAAGATGTCTTCGCACAGCCCGTATCGACAGAACAGGTGTTACAGCGCATCGATGACCTGCTCCACCGTGGTGCAGCGCACGTGGATCACTTCAAACGACTTTGAATAGGCGTCCACCACCAGGAAGTACATTTTCCCATTCACTGGGCCAGCGAAGTCGATGTGGAAGCGTTTCCACGAATGCTCGCTGGCCGTCCACTGCTGTAGTGGTACTTTGGGGGGGGGGGGTTCTTCGCGTTTATCGAGCACATGCGACAGTTCGAAGCCAGCTCTTCGATTTTGCTGTCGATGTTTGGCCACCACATGTGTCCCCGTGCTTCTGCATTCTTTGCCCGATTCCTGCATGCGTCTCATGCAGGTACTGCATGAGGTACATGCAGTAGGTGCAGTAGGTTTATGCAGGTACATGCAGTAGCTGGCTGCGCAGTGGCGGTGGGATGACGGTGCGAAATCCGACAAGGATGCAGCCGTTTACGACGCTTATCTCCAACCTGCGCCTGTGGTATGGAGGATGCTGCTCGTCCACTTAGTTGGGCCATCCGATCTACACAAACCTTGCCACTTTGTCAATAATTAGCCTATTTCAGATTGCATACGGTAAAGGCTCCGTACATAGAATCGCACGGTGTCTGATAAGCAGTACGGTGGCAGGATGAAAACTGCTTCAGATCTTTGTGCGGTTCCAATTTGGTCAAGTACAGCAACGAAAAAATTAATCGAGTCGAGTGCGCGCGAGGACGTGACCACCCTGCTAACGGTCGGCGGTCTGAGTGCTCAAAAAAGATCCACGGGCAGCATACGCTGGCCTGTCATTCACTCATGTGTCTGAGCCGTTGCAAGCATCCGCTTAAGGCAGATAGTTTTTACGCGTCACCGCACGACGCTAGGTTACAGCTGCTAACGTCGCGAACGGACGTAAAACTACCCGGAACCAAAGGTTCCACATGGAACCGGAGCCGAAACTAACATAAACCGTGCAATCTGAAATAGGCTATTGCTTCCTATTTTGCTGGACTCGATATAACGACCGTCCTTTCCAATAATGAAGCCCAGGTATTTGACCGACTCGACATCAACTAACACTTTGACATCTTGACAGTAAACCCGTTCGCATCCAGCCGTTCTAAAACACCATTCAGGTTGCGGTTGTGTTCCGTTTCGTTCTTCCCTTTCACAATTATGTCGTCAAAGAAGACTGCGTAACCTGAAGATTCCTGAAAAACAATTTCCATCTTCTGTTGAAAAATGGACGGCGCTGATGCGACCCCGAAAGGCAGGCGATTGTAATGAAAAAGTCCCTTGTGCATATTGATTACCACAAGGTGGCGGCTCTCTTGATCCATCGGGATCTGCGTGTAAGCGTCTTTTAGGTCAATCTTGAAAAAGCGCGTGCCGCCGTTTTGCGCAGCGAAAAGCTCGTCTGGATGCGGCAGTGGATAACGGTGAAGGTCCAATGCGTCACTGAGACCGGTGCTAAGGTCAGCGCATGTGCACACCTCGCCGCTAACCTTCTTCAGCACGGACACGATAGGAGCTGCCCATACGTCTTAGTCGACCGGACTAATGACGCTTAAGGACTGTAGCCGCTCCAACTCCTTCTCGACGGCTTCCCGCCCGGGAAAACGGGACTGTCTGCGCTTTGCAGAAACGCGGTCGAGCGTCCGGGTTAAGGTACAAGTGCGCCTCAAAGTCTTTGTAACAATCGAGTTCATCGCGAAATA